AGCAACATGTTGTGCTCATCGGTTTTATTTATTTGCGTGGACGCTGTGGTATCCTGAACGTCATTCCTTTGACGGAAAGTCTAATGTGATCTTGGAAAGATACGCCAAGCATCCTTCGTCCCTTGCTGCCTCCGTCACTGCGGGAGCTCGCAGTTCAGCTTCCGTGAGTGACCACATTCTGCATCCATATGTTACTGCCTTCAAGACAGTGGTACTGAAAAAGAGAAAGGGAGAGGGGGAGGGGACACGGAGGGGACAGTGTTCAGCTTTGAGGATATTGGCATTACAACGGAATTTTCGCCAAACGGCAACCCTTCGACCTGCAATCTCCAACGGGAAATTGTGTCGCATATTTACTTCTTGTCCGAGATAGACGTAAATGTGAAGTGAATTACATTTTTAGGTAAAGCAAGGTTTCAGAAAAAGGCTTCGATTTTTAATTGTATTTTTTGTGATTCACAAATTTATTTTAATGCTCATCTTCGGTGCTTGCTTCGAGATGCACTAATTTTAGAGAAGAGCTGCGGCTAAAACGACGTCGTGAGAAAGAACACCTAGCAGTATTTCCGTGCAAATTAAGAATTCTTCCGCAATATATTTTCAATGCGCGTAATCCAATTATTATCGGGGTTTCTGTCGAAGCAGGACAACTCAAAAAAGGGGTCCCATTATGTGTTCCTTCGAAAGATGTAAGTTTCAGATCTTTTCAAGGTTTTTTTTTTTCAAAGGAAGCCACCGGTATTTACCGGAAATGTTTGATGAGTTGGTGCTGGCAGGGCTGTTTGCAGTGTATTTTTATTGGCACTGTATCAAGCATTGAACGAAATCATGAACAAGTGGAATTAGCAAGGACAGGCGAAGATGTTTGTATCAAAATCGAAAATACAACTGGTGAAGCGCCGAAGCTGTATGGCAGACATTTTACACATGAAGATACTCTTGTTAGTCGAGTATGTTCCCGCTTCTTTTTTTTCAAGCTTACAAATTACATGGCTGTAGTAACTGGACGAATTAACCGTTCGAATCAGATAAGTTTGAAACTAACTAGAATGGAATGTATTGAGCGATGTCAGTCACTGCCATACTACGACAGTAATAGCCATAATTGCTGTAGTGATGACATCAAAATCGTTCGATCGAGAATTTGAATGAGTTGCAGACTTCAGTCAGAGTTGTGCTGAAGAGTCGATGTTTAACCTAAAGAGCACCAGTTCACAAAAACGCACTGATAAAGAAAGCATCATATTATTAGATTCAATCTGAATATGCTAAATCACTTTAAAAAATGCATGGGGCCGGAAAATTTAAGTTAGCCCAAAAATGCTGAAAGAGGCCGATGAAGTTTCGAAGAACAAGCTCACACTTTATCGAGATAAGGGCACCAAAATCGGGTACGGATGGCACGTTTCTTTTCACTATTAATAATG